TGACAGCAAGCCGTGCGCGATGAATGCCGTGCTGGTCTCGGAGTTTCTGCCGTGGCCCGCAGCCTGCGCAAAGGCATCCCTCGCCAGCTTCGTGGCCCCTGAAGACAGCTCCTCCCTGCGCTTCTGGAACTGCTCCAAGCCGCTCGCATCAGCTTCATCCTCAACCGAAAGATCCTCCAGGATGTGACTGCAGTCAACGAACTTCGAGAGATCGACCACGCCCGCGACCAGGTCCTCAAGCTGGCAAGAGCCCACCGTGGCCTGAGGCCCCCCCATCCGACTTGTGAGAGCCCTGCAGCACAACGGGCGGGGCCTTGTCGTCAGCATCCGCCTGGTTGACTTGGTCTCGCACCGCGCGAAGCGTGGCTTCCGCATCGGCGAGCTGCTCGCGCAAACGAACCACCTTATTGAGAGTCTGTTCCATCTGCTTCTCGGGCCGACGAACTTGAGCATGGGCCTGCTGCGTGCGTGCGTGATCCGAAATGACAGCAGGCTTCGCGGCAGCCTCCAAGTGACGCGCCATGTCCAGGTAACTGGTGGCCGCTCCATGATCCCCCGCTGTGTGGAGCGACTCGCCCAAATACTTGGCCTCTGCGGCGGGGATAGACGGTGCTGGCCCCGCAGGAAGTGGCGGGGCACCTCCTCCAACTGCATCTCCCCGCTGTGCACCATCTTGGCGAGCCAACGCGTCCAACATGGTGGGGTCGCCTCCGAAATAACATGTTCCGTTGTCGGTTCCGTTGCCGAGAACACCTCCTTTGCCTTCGCGCCCGAACGAGCCCTTGTTCCCCCAGCCCTTGGAGCTGAAGGCGTTCCCGTACCAGTAGCCTGGAGGACCAGCGAGAGCCCAGCGACCATCGACAACGTGACCAGCAGCATGAGAAAGCGTCTGAAGAGCACTGGCACGGTGCTTACAATACTCGGCGTTGGCGCTGTTCTTCTTGCAGCCACAACTGGGGCACACCGTGCCCTTCGGCCCTCGACGACTGCCGTTTGTGACCCATGCCTCCTCGGCACCTTGCGAGTTGATCCGCGGCGTATACAAGAAATAATGGGCAGGCACCATCGCAAGGCAGAAGTAAAACTGTGAAAGCGAGAGTCCCTTAAGCAGAACGTGTTGAGGAAATGCGCCAGGCGGACGGACGCCTGGGAAAGCAATGGGGGCCGCAAATCCCCCGGGCCACAATGCCAAACCCTGAGCGAAACGCTACGGACTTGAGCCAAAATGGCTACGGACGTCTCCTCCTTCTCCTCCTTCTCCTCCTTTTCCTCCTCCGTCCTCTTCCTCCCCCTTCTCCTCCAACCTTTTTCCTTAAGGGTAACTTCTCCACGTCGTGCCCCGAGGCTGGTCGAAAGGGCGGGCCAGGCGTTTCGCCTGAGACTTCCTCACCGTCTATGATCTTGAACCTCGAAAATCGCAAAAGTGTCACGGATGGGAGGCGGTCCGTTTCCAAACTGTGGCCCTCGCCTTGGCGCCGCGCGCACTCGACTTAACAAATTGTAGAAGCTGCACGGATGGAAAACAGCTCGTTTTCAAAATATCGCTCTCGCCTTAGCGCTGCGGGCACTCATCTTTAACACTGGCAATAGTTAAACGGATGGAGGACGGTCCATTTTCAAAATGTGGTTCCCGCCCCAGCGCCGCGCACGTTCGTTTTAAACTTTGCCAGAACTCCACGGACGGAGGGCGGCTCCTCCTCAAACCGCCGCCCTCGCCCCTGCGCCGCGCACGTGTGCATTAAGAGTGCGCAGGAGTTTCAAGGATTCTCATGGCTAGCGTCCCAAATCTGGTACCGCGCCTAGCGTCCCAAATCTGGTACCGCGCCACGATGTCGGGATGTCAGGGCGCAGCAGCTACGTTGATTCGTGGTGCTGAACTCACGCGTCAGTAACTGTCATCGCGGCGTTGAAATCCCAAGGACGGCGTTCTAGCACAATTCCAGATTCTCAAACGGTTGTTTTCCAACGAGGGTTTCCCTTTCAGTGAACATGAATCCGTGAAGGAGCGTATGAAGAGGATACTTGGAGGGATGGTTTACTGTAATATCGTTGATGCGTCTTCGGTTTACACTGGTCCCTCCTCCTCATCCTCCGTCGGCAAGCTGTGTCGAGCAGGGCTTCGGCTCTATCTCGCAGAGGCGTGTCGTCGAAGGTTGCAGCGTGGCCCCTCTGGACTCACGAAAGGTTCCAAACTGTTCCTCCTCATCCTCCTTCTCCTCTTCCTCTTCCTCCTCCTCCTCCTCCTGCTCCTCCTCCTCCTCCACCTCCTCCTCTTCCTGCTGCTCGTCCTCCTCATCCTCCTCCTCCTCCTCCTCGTCCTCCTCCCCTGCATGCCTCCCCCCAGTTCCCTCCCTCCTATCCCCGCCCCGTCCCCCCCAACGCTCGCCCTTCGTCCTCTTCCTCCTCCTCCTCCTCCTCCTCTTCCTCCTCCTTCTTCTCCTCCCCTCTCCTCCCCCGCCTCCCCTCTCATCTCCTCTCCCCCCCCTTCCTTCCCGTCTCCCTTCCTCTTCCTCCTCCTCCTCCTCCTCCTCCTCCTTTCCCCTCCTCTACAATGACACTATCTGAATACTACTCTTCTCTCTCCCGTGACTTTGTCTGGAGAATGCCACGTCCTCTCCGCGTATTGTTTCTTGCGCACAAGATTTCGTTCTTTGGTTTTTTATGTTTTTTCAATCCGGTTTTGCCCGCTCGTCCAACATGGTGCTCGCAACCATTTCCGCACTTCGATTATTCAAAATCGTGCTCCCACTGCATCGCTGGCTGGCTCCCTTCCCGCTGATCTCCCTGGGCTCCTGGTGCTCCGGGCAGCCCAGGAAGACTTGGAAGGGGGTGTCGGGAACGCGAAGCAGCGTGTCAAAAAGAGGGGGGGACTGCAAACATTACAATAGTCCTACGGGACGGCACCTGGCATTCGACAACGCCCAAATCGGGCAGGCACAGTTGCAGAGACATGGGGCCAACATTCCGGACAGGCCCTGTCCTCTCGTAGACGGGCCACTTACCCTCCAAATCATCCAGTGCTATGCCACGGCATGCAATGTGATGCTGTGCTGTGCACCGCTTTGCGATGCCATGCTTTGCGTTGCTATGCTTTGCGCTGCACTGCTTCACTACGCAATGCCACGCCACGTTATGGCATGCTATAATCTGCCGTGTTTTTCTGCGACACGCTTTTCCATTCATCGTGCACCTTTTGTGATCATTGTCCTGCTCGACATCCGACTGCGCGAATAGATCGGACATCTACGCGATGGTAAGGGATGGGAGTGAAGAGTAGGACGTGCGCTCATTGGCTTTTCCCCGATGCAGGTCTCACAAGGTTTGAAGACCCTTTCCGAAGTGCTTGACGAGTTTTAGCAATCGTTTCAACAGCTTGCTTGGTCGCGAGCTGTCAGTCATTATTGTGCTGAAAGGGGTCCGAAGTGGAGTGGACAACACTAGTTGTCGTCGGTTTATTAACCACTTACGGCAGAGTAAACACGGGCACCGTCTCGCCGAAACGATTGTCAACATCGCCACAAGTGGATTTGGGCACCGTCGACGTGTCGCCGGTGAAACTTGCCATCACATCAACCCACCTTGTCCTCTGTGCCGGGAGCAGCCGGGGACAGCTTTGCACCGAGTGTGGCTCTCCATTCACAACAGCGAAAAGCACACGGCTGTCAAGCAGTCTGATTATCTCGTAGTTTCTGCCATGGCCAGAGGCGAAAGTGAAGCTTGCTTCTGGATGCGTGGTCTTAACTATCCCTCGCGCATGGACAGCAGTACCACCAGCGAGGTCAGAGCCTTCGCTGTCCATTTTCGGGTGCAATGATGTTTCAGACACTTTGAGCGACACCATACGACCCTCCTGTGGTGAAGGCTGGTATCCTGGGGCCCCTCCCTGGTCGGAAGCAATCGGTTCCTCGAGGCGAATTACACGAGCTCTCGTTGGGCCCTCTCCCATTCCAGACGCCCCTTGATCTACGTCACGGATAATTCTGGAGTGTGCGACGGTTGGTATGATAGGCTGTAAATGTGGCCCGCTGGTGAGAACATGGGAACATGGGGGACTATACGTTCGATCTTGACTGAGGCTGGCCGTGTCACGTCACAAGTTGCCATCCTCAAGTTCAACTCCCATCTCACCCCTCTTTAGATCCTTCAGAAGAGCGTTCCTCGTTTTTTTCTTTTTGCCACAGGCAATACGATTGCCGACGAGTTAGCAGGAGCAGCAGCAGTTTCATGTCGGTTAGGTAGCACAGTACGAGCACGCGTGTGGCAGATTGGAGAAGACGCTCTGCTGGTGCGGCGACGACTACTCCGAGTCGCGCTTGAGGTTTTCGCCCACGACTCCTCCGATCGGCCCTGACAACGTGGCGGAGGTGGCAGGACTCGCGGGGAGGACGAGCGTCCCGCGCCTGCTCCGGCGCCTCCTCCTCTCCCTCCCGCCCCCCCCCTCCCCTGCCGCTCTGTACGTTTCCACAGCTTTTTTCGTGTTGGAGCCTAGTGGTCGTTCTTGCTCCAGGTGCCACGGACCTGCCTCGATTTACACAGCCACTCTGTGGCGATCGTCCCCGTGTTTCGATCTCGTTCTTGGAAGTCTTAATGTCTTGCATCCTCCCGCTGGCCAGCCCTTGCATCTTTGTGGGGGCAGGGTTGGGCCCCATCATAAGATGGCGTGTCAAGTTGACCTTAAGGTTCGGTATTGTCAGACGTGTGGCTTCTTCTGTAACGAGCTCTTGTCTAAGGATTTAGAAGCACCGTGCACTGATAAACTTTCCTCCGCCAGACGAGAACATCTCCGAGGGTTGGCGAAAGGGCTACCCAAGAAGCCCAGCAGGCGGCAAGGGTCTCAGGCGGTCAGTTCCGGATATCGGCTGGTGATGGCGTCCACTCCACTCCACCCTTCTCCACCCCTTTCCTCTCCCCCCCCGCCCTCCCTTCCTCCATCTCTCCCTTCCTCCATCCCTCCCCCCCCTTCCCTCCCCCCCCTTCCCCACCCACCCCTCCGCGCTCGCCTCGCGAGGGGCCCCGCCTCCGGCCCGGGGCCGGCCGCGGACAGCTCCGCCACGCTGGTGGTGCTGTCGTCCCACTCGGCCCGGTGCTCCATGTCCTCCGCCGCCGCGCGGGGGCGGGCTCAGGGCATCCGAGGAGGAATTCTGGGATCGAAAAAGAGATCGAGGAGGAGGAAATCGAGGAGAAAATCTAGGAGGGAAAAATCAGGAGAAGGCGGAGGATCGAGGAGCAGGATTTTGATGAGGATGAGCATGATTCATGGTAATGATGAAGATGATGAGGATGATGATGATGACGATGATGATGATGATGAGGATGATGATGATGATGATGATGTTGATGCTGATGATGATGCTGATGATGCTGATGATGATGCTGATGATGATGCTGATGATGATTCTGATGATGATGATGGTGATGATGATGATGATGCTGATGATGGTGATGATGATGATGATGATGATGATTATGATTATGATGATGATGATGATGATGATGATGATGATGATGATGATGATGATGATGATGATGATGATGATGATGATGATGATGATGATGATGATGATGATGATGATGATGATGATGATGAGGGGGAAGAGGAGGAAGAGATCGAGGAGGAGGAGGAGGAGGACATCCAGGAGGAAATCGAGGAGGATCGAGGAGGAGGAGGAGAGGGAGGAAGAGGATAATCAGGAGGAAGAGGAGGAGGAGGAGGAGGAGGAGGAGGAGGAGGAGGAGTTGGAGGCGGAGAGGAGCAGTAGGAGGAAGGGGAGGAGGAGGAAGAAGAGTAGGTCGAGGAGGGAGAAAACAAGGAGGAGGAAGATCGATGAGGAGAAGGGTGAGGATCGACGAGGAGAATTGGAGAGGAGGGGGAGCGACGATGAGGATCGAGGATGAGGAGGAGGGGGAGGAGGAGGAGGAGGAAGAGGTCGAGGAGGAGGACAGAAGAGGAGACCGAGGAAATGAGGGGGAAGGATCGAGAAGGAGGAGGAGGCGGTTTCAACTTGTTCCACTTCTGGGACTGCTGCTGCCAATGGTCTCTCTGTTCTTCACTCATTGGCCTTGTCGGCTCCGTTTCTTAATTTTGGCATCGAATCTCCCGTTGTGGCCTGAACCGAACCGATGAGAAAGAGGAGGATGATGAGGAGGAGGAGGATCGAGGAGAACGACCGTACCCAAAATCGGTTCATCCATCGTCAATGCGCCGAGCCTCACCTCTGGGCCCAAAACTGTTTTGGGGGCCCAGGAGAGGCAGCCGAATTACGGTGCCTGCACGCGAGCACTACCGAATTGCGCGGCAAGATGGCGCGCATAGAAATATACAACCACTGAACTGAAGTTAGATTGACCTTCTGCAGCAAGGGCCAGGCCAAGGCAACGCGACGTGTCAGCTGGCGCATCTCGAGAGAGCACGCTGCAGACAAGAGCCTCCAGAAGCCTGCACTCGAGGAAGTAGTGCGACACCCAGCCATCACTGCCAGCAGAACCAACGATGCATCCACACGCCGTCCTTTGCATGCGCCTGGACATCCTCCAACCTCCGAGCCACGTCGTTAAACACGCCGAGTTGCAGGCCAGAGGCAAGGCGCGCAGCGAGGCCCTCGCCGCCCCACAATCCACCGGCTCGACTCCACCCGTCGGAAGAAACCACTTGGTGACGCGGCGATCGAAGAGAGGAGCAATGACAACATTAAAGAAACGAGCCTGGAAGGTAAGAGAGAAGCGAGCCTGCCTCGCGAGCGTCCACGATCCGGCCCAGTCTCTCGACAGAGCGCGAGACATTCTGCCCGGCGTCGATGCGCCTACTATCCTGGGGGATGCCTGCGGCCGCCTGGGGGAGCGAGAAGGCAGTGGCGGGCGAGGACTGAAACGGAGGAGCGAGCGAGGGTCGAAGCCAGACAATCGCACCGAACTCTCTGATGGCAGACCGAGGCTGGGCAAGCTGCGACGGCCATGATGCGACAGAGAAGATGGCCGCCCCCACGAGAGACGCACAGCTCAGGGCCTCGCTCGACGGGAGGCCGGGGCCCGCCCACCCTCCAAGGCTCTCCCACCCGTCCCACGTCAGAATGGAGCTCGAGGTCCGCCAGAGCGAGGCCGACCAATGGCGCTCCCCAGGCGCGGGAGAACAGGCTGTTTTTTTATATCATAGAGGACACGCAGAGCGCCGGTGCGAAACATATTCGTGTCAAATCAGCCGACGAGTCGCTCGCAGCTCGCGTGCGCTCTTTCAGCTTCGCCCACGGCGCCTTCCATTGATCAGCGAGAGTGACGAGAGGCCGATCCGAGTCCCGAGATCATCGAGAGATGACGCGACCTAGGAGCTGCTCCAGGATGGTGCAGCGCGCGTGATAAACTCCCGAACTTTCTCCTCGATTTCAACGGAACGCTCGCCGAAAAAGATGGACCAGACACAGGCGGCAAACCCGCGGCAGCGAGCGACACCGCCCCCGAATCATCAGCAAGTGCTCGCGAGAAAACGTGGTTCGGGGCCTCTACCGTGCGTTCCATATCACTCAGAAATCGGTTCGACGCGATGCAGCAGATTGAGCCGCTGAGGAGCGTCCCTGGAGGGCGCCAACAAGGACCGCATACAGTGTGGCACGCACGCCTCCTTCATGGAACCAGAGCAGATTACGATGGTAGAGCGGCTGGAATGCCGCGGCGAATTTAGCAGGCAGCGGGAGAGCGAGGAGAAACCACCTGTGACGGGCGCCGGGGGGAGTTTGAGCAACGCCGAACGAAGCAGGGAGACCGTCCTCGGGCTTCCACCCTCTGGCTAAGCAAGCAGCCAGAGACTCGAAAAACGGCAGCAGAAACGAATGCCCAGCAGTGAACGCCCAGAAAAAGCGTCCATGACCTCCTCGGGGCCACTGCCAGCCGCCCAGGCACTGCGCGCCAGCCTGCCTGGGGCAGGTGCCGACTCGGAAATGTGACGCAATGTGGGGGAGGGGGGTGCGGGGTCTAGAACGCAGGGGACCCGAGCGCCGCGAGATTGCCGGACTTTCCAGGGGCAGCTCCAAGAATCCTCCGACGGCCCGCGCGGTCTGAGATGCGATTCCGCCGATGGCGCGCCATGGGGCGCTTGAACCCAAGAGGACGGCGCGCCGCCCTCTGGACAATATGAACCGCGCGAGCGCGGTTGGACTCGGCCTTGGCAGACACGAGCTGGGCCTCGTGGAAGGCAGCGGCGAGAGCCCCGCTATCCTGGATCACGACTCTTCCAGCGACCGCGCACAAATGGGGGCGTTGCCAAAGGTAGCAACGCAGAAGACTACGAGCAGCCTTCGAATCCCACCGGGCGATGGCGCGAAAGGCAGACCTCCGCGCCGCTGCGCGACCTTGAGGGCCAGGGCGCACGCGGGAGAGGAGCGCGTCTCGAGCGGTCTGACCAGCACACCGTCGAGCATGGACGGCGAGTCTCGCGGGGGCGTCCGCGGGTCAGTCGCACTCGCCCCCCCCCGCAAGATCGGCCCCCGAAGGCAATGACCATGTCATGATCGGCCCGCGCCCCTGCTCACCGCGGGAACGCGGGGGCCACGTCGGGGCGATAGGCGCGCGATTGCTCAGCCCTTCGGCCATGCTCTCCGGGTTTAGCAGCTATGTGGAAAGACTGCCGCAGCCGAAATCGACATCCAGGACGGAAAAGACACGGCGATCCGATTGATTTACGAAGCAAGCTGACGAGGGAGATGTCAGTGAGCGGGCCGCGCACCATTGCATTCAATCGTACGCTTCCAAACTGCACACCGCTTTGTCTGATGACGTCGCCGAGAACGTGGAAAGCCATGCCCCATGCGCCTGCAGGTTGCAAGCGCAGGTGATCCAGGGGCATGCCCTTCGACGTCGTCATCAGAGATACTAAAATCCACGGGCGCTTGCTTTGGGAACATTCGGCGGCGCGTTTCGAACCGGGGGGTGCCTCCCCCCTCCAACACCCGGCGCCGTCGATCAAAACCAGGGGGACTCCCCTCCCCCCCAAACTCCCCCCTCCCGAACACCCCCCCTGGAGGGGGGGGGGGTTCAACCCCCCCCCTCGGCGCCGGCACCGGCGCTAGCGGCCGCCAGCAGCGCCCACGGCGGGCGGCGGGGACGCACCGACGATGACCAGAAGCAGCCCAAGGGGGGGGGGGGGTTCAACCCCCCCCCCCCTCGGCGCTCGCTGGCGCTGGCGGCGGCTAGCAGCGCCTGCGCTGGCGCCGGCGACGGCGGGGACGCAGCGACGATTACCACCACTACCACCACCACCACCACTTCCACCACCACCACCGCCTCAACCCACCACCACGACCACCACCAACAATACCACACAACCACCACCACCACCACAGCCACCACCACCACAACCACCACCACAACTCACCATCACCACCACCACGACGAAAACCCACCACCACTACCACCACCACAATCTACCACACCACCACCACCACAACCACAACCACCACCACTACCAGCAGCACAACCCACCGCCACCACTACAAACCACCACACCACCACCACCACAACCACCACCACCACAACAACAAACGTCCACAAACCTCCGCCACCACCACAACCCACCACCACCACCACCACAAACCACCACCACACCACCACCACACCACCACCACACCACCACAACCACCACCACCACAACTCACCACCGCCACCACCACCACCACCACAAAAACCCACCACAACTACCACCACCACCACAATCTACCACACCAGCACCGCCACAACCACCACCACTACCAGCAGCACAACCCACCGCCACCACCACAAACCACCACACCACCACCACCACCACCACCGCCACCACCACCACCACCACCACCACCTCCACAAACCACCGCCACAACTACAACCCACCACCACCACCACAAACCACCACCACACCACCACCACACCACCACCACCACCACAACCCACCACTACCACCACCACCACAAACCACCACCACACCACCACCACACCACCACCACCACCCACCGCCACAACCACCACCCACACCACCACCACAACCACCACCACCGCCACCACCACCACCACCACAACCCACCACTACCACCATCGCCGTCGTCCTCGTCGACGCTCCCCGCCACCGCCGCCCGC